GTGGGGGGCGGGGCCACAATAATCAGAGGGAAAACTCTATGGTTTTCCCTCAGATTTTTGTGGCCCCGCCCCCAACGTTCCCGACGTGCTTACGTCACTTCCGTGTGACGTGCCTGCGGTGCGCGGGCTCCTGGACCGAGCCTGGACTCCCCCGCTCCGGACCAGTTAAGGACTTGGCAACCCTAGTCTAAGGGTCTCTATACATGTGTCTTTCACCTCAGGATAACAGCCTTTTTGTCTCGATTCGTGTAAAAGGTTTTATATGTGGCTTTGTTAAAGAACAGTGACCCGCTGCACTATTGATGGTCCTCCTGCTCCATAAAGCAGCCATTGATTTTTAAAAAACAGGACGTGTCCCCGGAGGCAAAATTAAAGCATTAAGAATGTGGTGTGTGTGTCTTGGATGGCGTGTCACAATGTTTTAAAATCCCTCAAGCTCCTGCAATGGGGTAAAATAAAATAACAAGGCCTGGCGGTACGTTCTGTAGATGCTGGCACTCCAGTACCCTCGTGACTAGTCACATTTGTTCAAGTGGTATTGCTCGAGTGCAGGTGAAGAGGCCTTAAAGGGTCAAGAGGCTATTTTTGTAAGGGAATATCAGGGTTGTACATTTGAGCTGCAACTAGTCTGGTGGTTCTTGTCACGCACGCCGGCCTCAGTGGGCCGGCTTTTAGAGGCTCAGAGAAAATGCACTCCACAGTTGTTGTCGTTAAGAACATAAGAAAATAAGAGAAGCCAATGTTGGATCAGGCCAATGGCTCATCCAGTCCATCATTCTGTGTCACACAGTGGCCAAAAAGACCAGGTGCCATCAGGAGGTCCAGCAATGGGGCCAGGACACTAGAAGCCCTCCCACTGTCCCCCCCCCAGCACCAAGAATACAGAGCATCACTTGCCCCAGCCTGAGAGTTCCACTCTATACCTTGTGGCTAATAGCCACTGATGGACTCCATATGCTTATCTAATTCCCTTTTGAAGCTGTCCATGCTTGTAGCTGCCACCACCTCCTGTGGCAGTGAATTCCATGTGTTAATCACTCTTTGGGTGAAGAAGTACTTCCCTTTATCTGTTCTAACCCAACTGCTCAGCAATTTCATTGAGTGCCCAGGCGAACGCGGCTGCTCAGCAATTTTGTTGCATCTCCTCTCCCTTTTCTTGCTACGTGCTACTGCTCCCCTCGCTCACCTGAGTGCTGTGAGGAAGAATGGAAGCCCCCTTCATTTTATTCAGGTGGGGAGGAGTGAGCAATAGGATGCAGTGAGAAACCGGCCACTGTGGCGGCAGCATTATACGATCGCTCCACCCTTGGACCCTGCCCCCGCTGCTAATCAGCTGGCCAGTGGGGGGACTTACTGGCAGTGGAGGGAGGGCTAGGCCACTATCAGTGGCAATGCAGTGATGTCACTTCCAGTGTGCACCAGAAGTGACATCATCATGATGCTGGCAACAGCTGAACGCTCTGGTATTGGGGCTAAAACTCTGTGGCTTCTGGATAGAGTTTTTGCCCCAATACCTGAGCCTTGGCCTCTCATCCACAGTTGGTAAGCCCCCCCCCCGGTTGCCAGGAGGTACCTGGCAACCCTAGGTAGCCGTGGTTGAGCCTAAAGATTAAAGGACTGATAGGTCCCTAGTTTGGACCACAATCTAGATAATCTGTACCTATACCCAATATTTTCTTCTGTCGTTAGTACCTGCCGGCTTTCCCCTTCCTTGCATTTTTTTCAAAAGGATGAACATACACATGAAGTCGCCTTATATTAAATCAGATCATCGGTCCACCAATGGTCAGGTGTGTCTAAGACTGGCAGCAGCTCTCAGGCAGAGGTCTTTCACATCGTCTCCTGCCGTGTCCTTTGTAACGGGAGATGCCAGGGGTTGAACCCGGGACCTTCTGCATACAAAGCGGAGTCTCTTCCACTGAACCACAGCCCCTCCCCAGGAGATCAGAGTTGGGTTTCCATGGAGGAACCATATATGGCCTGGGACCTGCATAGCTTTAGGAACACGTCTGTACAAAGTGACCCGTCCGTTACAACCATCTTCAGAGGCTCTGCTTTGCCTGCCCCCACCATCTGAGGCTAGATGGGTGACGACGTGAGAAAGGGCCTTCTCAGCGGTGGCACCAAAATTATGCAATTCCCTTCCCAGGAGGATTCATTTATCTCCCCCACCCCGATCACTGTCTTCCACCGGTGGGTGAAGCCTGTTCTGTTTCTCCTGATGTGCTCTTACTGACCCTCGGTTTTGTTAATTGTTGGCTCTGTCTGTCATCCATCCATCCATCCATCATCTATCTATCTCTATATCTATCCATCCATCCAACGCTGGGAGGGCAGGGTATAAATTTAATAAATAAATAAAATTATCTATCTATCTCAGCCAGCCAGCCAGTTTTTGAACGTTGATTTTTAATCTCTTGTAATCGTTAGTCTACTTCAGGGTCTGCATTGAACAGAAAAGCAGCACACAATTATTTTACATAAGTGAAGACACTCTGTGTGTGAGAGAGAGAACAGTGCGTGTTTGCTTCTTTGGACCGCAGCCTCTCTGGTCCTTGATTCTGTTCCTGATAATTGCCAGTTGTAGAGTAGCAGCTTGTACTTTTCTCCTCTGCAAGATAATGTAGTCTCATTTGCCTCTTTTCACTCCCCAGGCAGTTACCTGAAAAAGTCAAAGATGACAACCAGATCAAGAACATGAGCGGGCAATGGTTTTATGAAGCCAAGTCCAAGAGGCACAGAGATAAAATCCACGGCGCGGACATCATTCGTGCATCTATGAGGAGGAAGCCCTTGACAGCAGGTATGTGCGGTGAAACTTTTCTGGTGGTAGGTGCCTCTGTGTGCGTGTTGACTTGAGGAAGGTGGTGTTTTGTTTGACGGAACTCTGCACAATCGAGAAGACACAATAATTAGCTACAAATAAAAATCTATTAAATGTACTTCTTGACCAACTCAACAGGGCACCGAATTCCTGAAGGGGCAGCTTGGTGGACCGATACAACCCTTACAACGAAGCATCTTGGGGAACCTTTTAAAGGCTGTGTATTGTGGCACAAACTTTTATGAGGCACAGCCCGTTGTGTCAAATGCACAACCATCTACTCCTGCCTGGATGTTCCATTTCTCATCCCCAGGAGCTGTTCCAATTTGGCTAGTGTGGGGAAAGGAAATGCTCCTGCCTTCCCCCTGTGCAATTTTCCGAAGCTATTTTGGAGCTGTACCTTGGAGTATTCTGTGCCTGTGCAGCTCCAAAATGGAGCAAATAGCACCTCCCCTGGTGCTAGGGTTGCCAGGTCCCCGCATCGATTTGGGGGGCATTCCGGGGGTGGTCGGGGATGTTGCATGACGTCCCCAGTACAGTAACATCACCCAGAAGTGATGTCATCACATCAGTGATGCTCTGGTTTTGGGGTGAAACTGTATGATAAATTCACCCTCAAACCATAGAGTTTTGCTCAAAAACCAGAGCATCCCAGCGCAATGTCCCCAGTGCAGTGACATCACTTCTGGGTAATGCCACTGTGCAGCTGGTCCACAGTGGGGAGAAGCCCCCGAAACTGGGGGCTCCCCCACTCGGACCTGGGGGCTGTCAACCCTGCCCAGGGCTGTTTCAGATCAGGAAAATAGACGGGGTAGAGAAGGCACGTTCCCCACGTTGCAGTCCTGAGCGGAATCTGGCCTCTGCAGTCTTTTAAAAGTGACATTCTTCGCAGCTGCTGATTCTGGATGACTTTTAATGCAGTCTGATATTCAGGCCGTATGTTTTTAACGACATTATCATGTACAGTATATAATAACTATATTTCTTTTGAAATAAATCTTATCTGCCGTTGCTTGACCTCGGAGGCATTCATAAGAACATAAGAGTTGCCAATGTTGGATCAGGCCAAAGGCCCATCCAGTCCAACACTCTGTGTCTCACAGTGGCCAGAAATACCAGGTGCCATCAGGAGGTCCACCAGTGGGGCCAGGACATTAGAAGCCCTCCCACTGTTGACCCCCCCCCCCAAGCACCAAGAAGACAGAGCATCACTTGCCCCAGAGTCCCTATCTATACCTTGTGGCTAATAGCCACTGATGGACCTCTGCTCCATATGCTTATCTAATTCCCTTTTGAAGCCGTCCATGCTTGTAGCTGCCACCACTTCCTGTGGCAGTGAATTCCAAGTGTTAATCGCTCTTTGGGTGAAGAAATACTTCCTTTTATCCGTTCTCCAAGTCATTCCTTGGAGGTTGAGTTTGTTTCCTCTTTCTCCTTTGCTTTGCTGTGGGGAAAGCCCGTTGTGTCCAAAGAATCCAGACTCAGTTCATTAAAAAAAGAATAATATAGTTTATCAGCAAGCGTCCATGAGGCCAACTTCTCTTGAATTTTCTTGCCTCTTGGCTTCCGTACAGTCTGTTGACTTTTCTCAACAGCATGAAGATTTCTGATTGTAAAGCTCTCTTTCCCCACCTCTTTTGTAGCTGTTTTTGTTTGAAATTTCAGTCTTAAGTTTTCCGCCGTTTATCTCTGTGCCATTAAATGCCTGAACCTGCTTTCCCTCCCACCTCTCAAAGGGAGCTGTTGTCACGATGGGGAAACCCGGGATTATTAAATCCTTACTCAGCTATAGAATGCGCTGACTGACCTTGAGCCAATCATGCGCCCTCAGCCTAACCTTCTTTGCAGGGGCGTAGTGAGAATGACAGATGCCACCTTGGGCTTCCTGGAAGAAGGATAATATAATGATGTCATATACAGGCAGAGGGCTTTCCCATTCTTGCTTCCTGAAGTCCCTTACTTGGCAGGTACCAGGAACTTAGGGCATTCTGTATGCAGCACATTTGATCTACCATCGAATGCATCGGTCTATCAAAGTCAGTATTGTCTGACCGGCAGCAACTCTCCAGGCAGAGGTCTTTCCCATCGCCTACTTTTTTCTTTTGCTGTCAGGTCACAGCTGATTTATGGAGACCCCATAGGGCTCTCGAGGCAAGAGATGTTCAAAGGTGGCGTCTCTTATGTTCTTATGTTCTTATGAGTGTGGGGCTTACGTGCAGAGGAAGTGTGCATACATACAGTCTGTCTCTGGGATCAGGAGCATTCAGCATGAATACAGGGAGGGAAGATACATATGTCTCCACTTTTTTTGTCATCAAGTCACAGCTGACTTATGGCAACCCCTGGTGGGTTTTTCGGCAAGAGACATTCAGAGGTAGTTTGCCATTACCTGCTCCCGCGTCATGATCCTGCCATTCCTTGGTGGTCTCCCATCCAAGTACTAACCAGGGCTGACCCTGCTTAGCTTCTGAGATCTGATGAGACTGGGCTAGCCTGTGCCATGCAGGTCAGGGCACAGGTACTGGCAACCATGTGGAGGCAGGGGGTGGGCTCAGCACACTCCTGTCTGCTTTTTCTCCATTCAGGGCAAACAGATCATATGTTGAGGGCTAGTATGACCGATTTATTCATTTTGTTCATTTTAACCCCCCTCTTTCCCCAAGGAACTCATTGTGGCAGACCCTGTTCTATTTTATCCCTTACCTGTGAGGTAGATTAGGCTGAGAAAGAATGACTGGTTCAAGCTCACCCAGAAAGTTCAATGGCAAGCAGGAATCTGAACCTGGGACTCCCAGAACTAGTGCAACTCTCTAACCATACTCCCACACTCCCTGTAGAACACAATTAAATGATGAGGGGAAGTGAAAGGAGATTGTAAACTGCTCTGAGACTCCTTTGGGTAGTGAAGGGTGGGGTATAAATCCAATCTCTCTTTTCTCTCTCTTCTGTTAAGCATTAAACATGTTTAAAAGCAGTGCAGTTGTTTAAAAATACATATAGTAATGGATTGACAGAACTGCCCTTCAGCATTTAGAATCTTTAGTCTGTAGAGGGTAGTACCGGAAAGTTGTAATTTAACTGTGTACTCCTTTATGGCAATTTCCTGACCTTTAGACTGCACGTCTTCAAATTGAAGTTTTTGGTTGCTTTCATTGTTGGTGTCTTGCCTGATGTATAGTTTTAAGCATGCACGGATAAAATACAAGATAAGCATCTTTTTTGTTTTGTTTTGTTTTCTATTTCCTGTCTTGATATTTTAGCGGAGCGGAGTCAGAATAAGTCTGGCAGAAAAAAGAACAGTTGGGTGAACAATGTCAATAAAGAAGTCCTCGTGACCCCGGAGCCATTTGGTGCTTTAGAGGAGACAGAAGGGGAATCGAAATCTAGTCCGAGGTTAGACACTCAAACTTGCTCTGGATTATTTGTGTATAAACCTGTCCAAAATATGAACCAGTTCAGCAACTAGTTCAGTCCGCCATAACTTTCAGCATTGTGACGATTACATTTTTACCTGCAGTAGAAAAGAACAAGAGTCCAGTAGCACCTTAAAGACAAACAAAATTCATGGCAGGATATGAGCTATTGTGAGTCACTGCTCACTTCTTTAGATACGCCTAGAATGTGAGTCCATCTGTCCTAAATATTGGAAAGTGGAGTGATTTCAGACGCCGAATGAGACTAGCAGGCAAATGACAATAGCAGGCATGATTGGGTTAGGTGTGATATGCAGAGGGGTCGCAGGCATGGAGAAATCAGCATTGCTAATGAATCAGGAACCCTAGGTCTCGATTCAGTCCGGGAGAATGCATTATCTTGAGCTTCATTATCAGTTGCAGTTCAGCATTTTTACCTGGCTTATTAAAAATTATTCTCTGTCTCTAGCTAGACTAGCCCCCAAGGGTCAAACGCAAGCTTTTTGAACAAGTATGTTGCCATTTCCAAGAGAGACTGAGACTGGAAGTAGATGTACGGTGTTAAGATTTGTGGAGCTGATTCTGCTGGAACCATTGCCGCTCACAGGACAAGCGTCCCTTTTTTTTTTGTTCTGCTGTGGGCTAAAATCAGCCGGGAGTGTACTGAAAACTCATTTATCCTGAGGAAAATCTGATTCCTGTTCACAAGAAGGAAAAATAAAGCCTGTATGCAGGTGTCTATTGGCTAGCTTCCCAAACACCACTGAAGATCTTTGGCTGAATTAGTATTAATATCCTTAATGGGTTGAAAAAGTGTTGTATTGAAGCCGCGTTTTACCTCATGGTCATCATCATGTTGTAACAGAAGGAGCATACATATAAAAATTTCTCCCTTACATGTGGATTTTTAAACTCTTATCTCTTAAGATGTTTCCGGCACTTATCAGTGTCATAGCAATGGTCTTGTACAGTATCTGGCTTAGAGTTCTCACATCACATGTGAACAAGTTTTTTCTTAATGAGTGGATGCCAGGTATAGGAGGTTCTCCTCCATCCACACCGAGTACTATTACCATCTGGAAATGAATGTACCTCATTATTGTCACGGGCTGGGGTGCCAGTCACAGGGAGTCCAGAACAAGCCAAGGTCAGGAGGCAAGAAGACAGTGCAGAGTTCAAAGCCAAGCCGGGGTCAGGAGCCAGAAACACAGAGCCAAGTTCAAAATCACCAACCAGAAGCATAGTCCAAAGCCAAGCCAGGGTCAGGAGCCAGGAAGACAAAGTCAAATCCAAAGCTAGGAGGTCCGAAGGTCTAGGTGTAAGAGCCGAGTCGAAGTGGATGCAAGCAGCATGAAGCTGACTTGTTGTTTCCATGAAGAGTACTATCCAGAGTGTGGAGTTAAATGCTGCTACCAGTTAGCCACCTTGTGAGACAGGATGCTGGTTCCAGCTCCTGCCAACCTAGCAGTTCAAAAGCAAGAAATTGCAAGTAGATAAATAGGTAACAGCGTTCCATGGACCTTGGTGTTTAGTCATGCCGGCCATATGACCATGGAAATGTCTTCGGACAGCGCTGGCTCTTCGGCTTTGAAACGGAGATGCACTGCAACCCTAGAGTCGGATTCAACTGGCTTTCGAGCAAGGGAACCTTTACCTTTACCAATTAGCCAGCTGCTGTTACCAATTAGCCAGCTGCACGATCGCCCAGGCTCCTGTTAAAACTCTGGGCTAGCTGAGCGCCTCCCTTGTAGCCTGGTCTCTCTTTGCTTAGCTGCTAAGTTTTGCCGCAGTCACTCCCTTAAACGAGTCACACGTGGGGGTGAGTCAGGAGGACTTTCAGCTTGCAGTTCTTCCTTCTTATCTGAGACAGGTGTGAAGACTGCTGTTACAGGCGCTTGCCAGCTACCCTCCTCTGCTGCTTCAGAGGGGCCAGCTGTGGTTTCTGCAGGCTCTGTCAGCTCATCTTTATCCATGCCCATGACAATTATCTTCACTGTAATCCAGTGTGCATAAGTGAGAATCACCCTTGTTTGATGTCGGGGAAGGGTTGCCCTTCTCAGGAACTGTTTTCTTTTAAAGGAGTATTTATCTTGCTGTGTGGGTGGAGACAAAGCATATTAAAGCAGAGAACTGCTTAGGTGGACCAAGCAAACAAGTTGAATGTAAGAAGACACATTTTTTTAAAAAAAGAAAAGATTTCTGTGGGGTTCATTGTCAATATTGTTGATAGCCGCCCTGAGCTTGCTTCGATGGGGAGGGCGGGGTATAAATCTAATAAATAAATAAATCTACTTCGGCAGGGTGGTTGTTGAAAATGGCTGAGAACAGGGGAAGTATCATGTTACATGCCTGGAGCTCCTTGAAACAAAGGTGTAATGTTAACCCCCAATTGTAAGAAAATGAAAGATTAATGTATGTAAACTTTGGAAAATTGAAAATAAAACAATTAAAAAAAAAGAAACAAAGGTGGGATAATAAAGTAATAGTCACTTTTCTTAAGGTAAGAGGGACGCATGTCACAAAAATGCAGGCATCTGGAGTCCCTTGCAGAGAAGTTAAGCACATAAGAACATAAGAAGAGCCCTGCTGGATCAGACCAGAGGTCCATCCAGTCCAGCATCCTGTCTCACACAGTGGCCAACCAGTTCCTCTGGAGAGCCAACAACAGGGCATGGAGGCCGAGGCCTTCCCCTAATAACAACATACGAAGAGACCCGCTGGATTAGACCAGTGGTCCATCTAGCCCAGCATCCTGTCTCACACAGTGGCCAACCAGTCCTTCTGGAGGGCCAACAAAAGGGCATAGAGGCCAAGACCTTCATTAAGAAAATAAGAAGATCCCTGCCGGATCAGACCAGTGGTCCATCTAGTCCAGCATCCTGTCTCACACAGTGGCCAGCCAGTTCCTCTGGAGGGCCAACAGCAGGGCATAGAGACTGAGGCCTTCCCCTGAGGTTGCCTCCTGGATCTGGGATTCAGAGATGTAGTGTTGTCATTGTGAAACTAATTTAATGGTTTAAAATGCCTGAAGTAACTTGCTGGGGGATTTTTGTTGTGTTTTTGTACAGTCCTACAGTGTTTGGCAGAGAGGCTAGTGTGTTAGCCGCACCCCAGGAAGACACAAAGAAGTCAGCTGTATCACCATCAAAGGTGGGTCTGTTGTCCTAGGGAAATCTATGGCTTATTTTAACACTGAATGGAAGAAAAGAGTTTATTTTTATCAGCATGGCCATGTTTAGCCAGTATCAATGGGTTCATCAAAGGGTATGTTGTAAGGAAAACAAGGAGTTGATAACCCTGTGTGTTTTCTCACAAGGCTAATCAAATGAAATACGAGGCTGAAAACAAGCCTGGCTAAAGGAGGGGGGAGAGAAGGCCTTGATATGCATTTTCAGAGAGGAATTATTATGAGCAGGATGCGTACAACGTCTCTCTCTGGCTGATCCTGGCAACTGGCAGGAGGGGTGAGGACTTGGGCTGTGTGTGTGGGAGGGATTGCCGACATTGCCACTTCACTTCCAGGTGAAAATCGGAAGTGACAAAGGGTAGCTCTAGGAATCACCAGAAACTGTGTGGTAAAACCATAGAGTTTCTGGTGATTCCTAGAGCTACCATATGTCACTTCTAGGTATTAACTGGAAATTACATGGCGACACTGTTTTTTTTTTCATTTGATTTTCCTCCTCAGAGGTACTGAGCCTCTGAATCCCAGAGCTAGGAGGCAACATCAGAAGACCTCAGCCTCTATGCCCTGTTGTTGGCCATCCAGAGGAACTGGTTGGCCCCTGTGTGAGACAGGATGCTGGACTAGATGGACCACTGGTCTGACCCAGCAGGGTTCTTCTTACGTTCTTATCAAGGGAAGGCCTTGGCCTCACTGCCCTGTTGCTGGCCCTCCATAGGAACTGGTTGGCCACTGTGTGAGACAGGATGCTGGACTAGGTGGACCACTGGTCTGATCCAGCAAGGCTCTTCTGATGTTCTTATCAGGAGAAGTCTTCAGCCTCTCTGCCCTGTTGTTGGCCCTCCCGAGGAACTGGTTGGCCACTGTGTGAGACAGGATGCTGTACAAGATGGACCACTGGTCTGATCCCGCTGGGCTCTTCTGAAGTTCTTACATTCTGGTTAATACTTATAGTCATTCATGGACTGGGACTCACATAGCCGCAGGACTGCCTCCCCCTTACATGCTCCATTGTAGCAATTTTGCTCATCTGAGGAAGGCCTTTTGAAGGTGCCATCCTGCAAGTGGGTGCGTTCAGCGATTTCCCCTGCCTGAGCATTCTCTGTCATGGTCCTAGGGATGCCAGCCTCCAGGTGGGGCCTGGGGATTCCCCGGAATTACAGGTCATCCCCAGTCTGCAGAGATCAGTTCCCTGGAGAAAATGGATGCTTTGGAGGGTGGACTCTACGGCACTGTACCCCACTGAGGTCTCTGTCCTCCCCAGGCTCCACCCCCAAATCTCCAGGAGTTCTCCAACCTGGATCAGGCAACCGTATCCCCCACACACACACTCCTGGCCAGTGGCTGGGGGACCTGGCAACCTTCCACAGTCTACCAACCTAGTGGAATGGCCTGCCTAACAATGTCAGGAAGGGTTCCATGCTAGTGTCCGTGCACAGAATGTTGAAAACTTTTCTAGGAGCACAGCCAATCAGAAGCTCTCCTGGGCAAAAGCCCCATCTGGCCCCACCCACTTTTTAAAAACACTTTGTGGGTACCAGGAGAGATGTTGGCAGGCACTGTAGCACCCCCTCTGGGGATCCCTGCTACAAATGAACTAACTAAATAAATAAGAATAAAACCTCTCTGCTCGCTATCGGAAGCCATTGCAAGTAGGGAGAAAAGGCCGCTTAAAATCCTAAATATGCCCTCCATTTGCCATTTCCTACTTTTGTTTGTTTTTAGACGGGTCCGCGGTGGCTTAGAGGTTAAGATGCTGAGCTGCAGACCGGAAGATCTGTAGCTCGGCAGTTCGAGACCCGAGTGCCGCATGACGGAGTGAGCTCCCGTCTCTGGCCCCAGCTCCTGCCAGTTCGAAAGTAAGAAATTGCAAGGAGATAAATAGGTACCGCTTCGGTGGGAAGGTAACAGCGTTCCGTACGCCTTGGCGTTTAGTCATGCCGGCCACACGATCATGGAGAAGTCTTCAGACAGTGCTGGCTCTTTGGCTTGGAAACAGAGATGAGCACCGCCCCCTTTTGGAGTTCTTGCTTTCGAGCAAGGGAAACTTTTTTTGGGGGGATCCCTGCCTGGTGGAGGGCATATGTTCCTCATTAAGCATCACTAATCTAGGAGAAAAATGAGATTAAAAAATACTGAACTCTGCCGTTAAAACGGAATGCAGGTGCAGAGAGGTAGAAAGGTAAAACGGGTACAAAGTAAAATGCAAAAGGTTTAATGTGACAGGACTGTCTAGTAATGTTCCCTTTTCAGTATTTCCACATTCGTGAGTTATAGCTATGGGGCAAAGCTTTCGTTTGATCAGATAAGGGGTGTTCTCATAAATGCCTGTTTGAAAACTGCCCCAGCAGGAGAGAAGGATGGGACACAAAGAGCTTTGGGCCATGGTCAAACCTGAACAACGGTCATGGCTGGTAGTTCTGGCTAGACCAGAGGGTTGGACCTACGTCCCACACGCATAGCGGTATTTATTAAAAGGAGAAGCCTCACTGGTGTTCCGGCAGTGCAGCGTTATTTTGATGACCAAGTGTATGAGAGCCAGTTTGGTGCAGGTGGTTATGAGCGCGGGCTCTAATTGGGGAGAACCGGGTTTGATTCCCCACTCCTCCACATGCAGCTGTTGGTGTGATCTAGGGTCAGTTACAAGTTCATTCAGAGCTGTTCTCTCAAGGGCAGTTCTCGGGAGAGCGCTCTCAGCCCCACCTACCTCACAGGGTGTCTGTTGTGGGGAGGGGAAGGGAAAGGAGATAATAAGCCACTCTTGAGACCCCTTCAGGTAATGAAGGGTGGGGTATAAATCCAATCTCTTCTTCCTCTATATTTTCTCCAGTATGTTTTTTTTTCAAGCACTAATATTCACTTTTCTTTATTTTTTTAAATTTTCTTTATTGAAATTTCTTAAAATACAAACAAATAACAACAACTGTAAATGTTTATAACATTCAAAGCTACAGTTATATATAATAACAATATAAAAATATAGTAAAAACATTTTTCAATAAGACATTATCTCCTCATATTTGTGAGGAAGTATAAATTGTATATTCTGATTTTTAGTAACATAATCAAAAAATTTGAACAATTTCTCTATAAATTTGTTATTTTTTCTCATTCCCAGTGCCACTTTCAGTTGGATTGATACTTTGTCTGCTATTATGACATCCCATAGTTTAATGTCTGCTAAACTCTTGTGCATACAGTGTTCCCTCTTAAGCTGAGTTAGTGTGAGCTAGCTCAGTTTTTTAGCCTCCGGCTCACTCCAGAGCAAGCTAATTTATGCAGTCGTCAAATTTCTTGTTCACAATTTTAATGCCAGTAGCTCACAAAGTAGAATTTTTGCTCACAAGACTCCCACAGCTTAGAGGGAACATTGGTGCACACCCAGTTGCTTTGGGACCCAGTTGTCTCTCTCGGTGAAGATGCGCGGGGTGAGATCCTTTCGTGTTTTACAAAGCGATGGACGTGTCTTTTTCATACCTTGGAGGAACTCCTTCAGGGCTGGTCCCTTTCACCATTGCAACCCTGCCTTGTTTATAAACAACAAGGGTAT